GAAGATATTTGGCGGGAAGAAGAGGCCGAAAGAAAAATAATACGAGACAAACAACTTAGGATTTTGAAAGCAAAAATCGCCAGAGAAGAATGGGAAGTTGTACGACAAATAGAAACTGGAGAATATTTCAAAACTGGTGAGAAATTAACAATACTACTATACTTTGTCTAAATAAAATAGATTAGTTTGATAAATTACGTATATGAAGTATCGAATTCAATTTCTATGAAGGCAAATGCCATACTTAATAGACACGTATCGTAGTGACGAAACAAATACGCATAAATAACAATTTGAAACTATCGATATTCGGTTTAAATAATTATCGAAATCGATTAAAATTGTTATTTCCTTATTAACTAATTTATAGGACAATTCTAGTATTGATTATAGTGTAGAGAATTTAGCGATGACAGAAATAATAGCGAAATTCAATTGGATTACGTACGGCTGTAGTAGTAATAAACATTTACTTACTCTCATTATTTGTTATATTCATTATTAATTTGAGAAAACAGTGTTTTTTCTTTAATTCATAAGTTATAACTATAAATCTATCGATTCCAACTTCTATAAGAATAAAAATCGAAAATTGATAAGATTCATGACTGATTTTACACAACCCTTCCCTACTAAATTGTCAAACTAATCTAAATTATTTAGACACACTATAGACAAATACCGGTTTAAACTAACCAGTATTTAGTGTTATTAGATATCTCCTTAGAGTAGGATGTCTCTTTGTTTAAATCTCCTTAATCTAAAGATCAACGTCAGTTAAAACTAAATTCTCACTTTTTTTTACTTAAAAAATAGGTCCAAATAAGGATAAAAATTGTCAACGGTAGGATATCCATGTTAAAGGAGACTTACATGCTGCCAACTTAACAATTTTCAACAATCTACGTTTGATGTTTACATTTATACTTTTTTACGTATTCGTTTTTTTGTTTTCAGATGACTCGAAATGAACAAAAGAATGCTGCACATAAATATGGACAGAAAAAAATAAATTTGTAATAATTAATTTCTGGAATAATAATTTAAACTAATTAGTAATCTTAGATATAGGGCATCGCCAAGCTGCCTCTCCTAGAAAATAAAAAAATGTGAAATAACTGTGCATGAAAACTACTTCGAAAAAGACCAAAATATTAGTAGAAAGACCCATCTTTAATCATCTGGCGACGCATATGGATTACTATGCTGAAAAGTAAAAAAAAAATTAAATAAAAAACATAGAGACGAATTGAGTACCTCCTTCTTTTGGGAAGTCGGTCAAAAATACTTCTATACATTTTAGAATTAAATGTACATCAATTTATTGAAATCTCACGATATCATGCTTAAATATAATTAATATGTAATTTTCTCTATTTATCCGTAACACTTTCGCACTTCTTACTTTCGGTTTCAAGCGAAAGTTGTTAAGTGACACCTTTTTATTGTACCATAGTGAAATTAACACGTGCCATTGTTAGATACGATGAGTTTTAAGTTACTGAGACAGGATGGTTCAACTTGGCTTACCATTCGTTATTTTTAAACGAATTTCTTCATTATAACAAAGAGATTCAAATATAATATTGGTTAGGGAGAGAACATTACGATAACTTTCATTTAGTTAAATATTTTTAACATAATCTTACTAACATTATAAATGTGAAAGTTTAGATGTATGATTGGATGGAGGTTTGTTAGAGTTTGAAGCCTAAGCAGGTGAACGGATCTCGATGAAATTTGTCATATACGTAAATGATAGTCTGGAAAAACACATAGGCTACTTTTGATTTTTTTAATGCCACCCGGACGGAGTCGGGGGCGAAAGCTAGTCTAATAATTGTCAGTACCATCAAGTAACAATGAGAGCGCGCGCACGCCTTTGAACCATCGACCAACGGTTTAGTCGCCCTTTCATTCTTATGACCTTATATGCAATGAATAATCACACAAAAGTTGTGCGATAGTTTAGTGAAAAGTGTGCGTCCGCTTTTAGTTGTTAAAACCACTGAAACTATCAGTAGTGGAGTTTTTTTTTGGATACGGTTAGGTTTATAATGTCCCTGTCTATACGCATATGTTGACTGTCTTTAGCTATACGGCAAAAGATCAATTACAAGTCGAGTCGTAGTTGCAAATGCTGATGTAGTTATTT